TCCGCTGGATGGCTTGGGTGTGCTCACAACGTGGTGGCTGGCTTCCCCTTGAGTGAATGGTCCCAGACAGCGAGCCAGGCAGAAGCTGTGTCTTTTCTATGACTCAGCCTCGGAGGTCACACACTGTCACTTGGGCGGTATTCCATCTGTCGCTCAGGTCAGCCCTGTTTAGTTGGGGAGGATGGGAATTCCAGGAGGGTGGACCTTTTGGAGCATCATGGAGGCTGCCACACTGTCCTATTTCTGTCCCCTTCGCTTACTTATCCAGTCCCTGTGGTTGGGCATCTCTCTTGTTTCCACTGTGTTGCTATTCTATGGAACACACATTTCCTGAATGCCTTAGACATCTGATGTGATAGCAGTGCCTGGTCCACATTTGGTTTCACTTAGTCCAGCCGAGATTTCAAAGTGACACCCTAGGAGCAACATCATTTGGGGCCATATCCAACGCTGGACCCCCTTTGGGTCACTCCCCTTAGGTTTCCTCCTGATGATCCCCTGAGGGGATCGCCATAGTGATTCAGTGGTTAGCGGGGTCTGACCGGAAACAGAATTCGACCCAGAGACTCTCATGAAGGAACCACTTACAGAGACTTGAGCAAGGACGAGGAAACCGACAAGACGAGAGGCACTCTGAGACTGGGAGCAGAGAGAAGCCATTGCCACCCTGAGGCCTGAGCAGAGAAGATACACCCTGATCTCTCTCCTCTGTCCTTTCTTTTCTCTCTGTATCTCTCTGTCTTTCTGTCTCTCTCTGTCTCTCCCTCTCTCCCCTTCTGCTGGTTCCTCCTATTGGCCAAACTGATACAGAGGTCAACCAATAGCCAACATGGAACCCCGTTGGTGTGGTCCAGGGGTCAGTGTCCCAGGGAAGAGAGTAGTGTGAAGAATGGATGGGAGGATGGAAAGAAGAGGAAACGGAGAATAACCAGCACATTGTCAGTCAATATTTTTGGAACATTAATGGGGCACAGAACAATGTATCAGAACAGAGGTAACCAAACCCTGCCTTGTAGATGTGGGGTAATTTTATTATTAATAATAATCCTAACAGCAATTCAGCTATAACGTGTTAAGTATTTTCCATGTACAGGGCAATGTATTACATTACAGGGCATTTTACACGTACTATTTCCGATCTTTATGGCCAGTCTGTTAGGCACATGTTATTATGAGCCTCTTTCAGGCCAGGAAAGCCGGGTTTGAAAAGCCTCGAGACCCTGCCTGAGGTTCCCAAGTTAGTTGCAGAGCTAGGATTGGACTGGAATCTGTTTTACTCTCAGTTTCACGTGCTTTTCTCCCAAGGCCAGCCTCGGGGGGTGGACCGGTGTGGTTTCTGCAGAAGCCTTCAATGGCTTCCTTCTGCAGTGGAGCAATTTTTAAAAAAAGAATAAAATCTTTAACACACCAACTCATCTGGACAGTTGCCCAGGAATTAGAGTATTGTGTGTTTGGCAAATTATGAGTTTTGTGCCAGTGCATGCAAAGTAGGCAAGAAGGAAGAAAAAAGAAGATCTCCCGTGGAATAACAGAGTGAGGAGCGCAGCGCTTGGCGTGGCAAGCTGACATCGTGGAGGTCACCTTTGAGAGCTTAATAAATTGTGCGGAGACTGCTGCTGATGGACAAGGCACAGTGGCGTCCCCTGAAAACAGTATCCTGGCAGCCCTGGGCACCCAGGAGGCACTCCATCAATGACTTGGTTCTAGAAGAAACTTTCCCCCACACTGTAGATGCAGGGGTGCGAGAGGCTTGGAGGGCAGTGGCGGGGGGAGGAAGAGAGAGAGGCAATGAAATGGCATTACTTTGCACCCAGCGTTTTGCAATAATGAGAATTACCCACTCTGTCCTCAGTGCTGGACACGTGGTAAAAAAATTTAGGAACTTCCCTGCTTTGTTTTTGTGTACATCCTTCATTCTTCCCGCAAGGGAAGAGTGGCCTTGATGACCTTGGGCGGAGGAGGTCACCTCGGTGGAGGAGGGGCTGGAGCTTTTGAGAGGATTTTGGTCCAGTGCTTTGGTCAAGATCTCCTAGAGCTGCAGCCAGACCCTGGTGGGTTTGCATTTCTCTTCCAAGCAGGGAATCTTCTGTTTATACTTTAAAGGCTGGGTGCCATGATGGAAATACCTGATCAACCCTGGGGTCCTCAGACCTTTGCATAGTTAATCCCTCTAGTTGGAAGCCAAGTCTGTGCTAGGGGTCTCTGGGAGATGCAGTGATGGGGAGGAGATGATGGGGAGGAGATGATGGGGAGGAGATGATGGGGAGGATGGGCAGCCAACATGTTGACGAAGTCTCCAGGGCAGAAAAGAGAGGACCAGGTTCCCATCCAAGCCTTTGCCAGCCAATGGAACAGTTCAACATGGACTGGAATTTGAAATTGAATTTGCTTTGAGCGTAAAATGTGGGAGGCACAGCAGTGCTTGGTGAACTTTGACCCAGGGTTCTGCGCACTGTAGATGCTCCCTCAGTCAGCGTTGCTGAGAGCCTAGCCAGTGTAGGGGTGATTAAGAATGGGGCCTCAGGAGCCAGACGGCCTGGGTTTCCATCCCACACTCTGTGATCCTGGGCAAGTCACAGATAATAATAGCCCCACCTCATGGGGTTGTTACTGAGTTGAATGATTGCATACTTGTGAAGAGCTTAGTACATAGTATTTATTAGTCACTATTATTCTTCTTTATTTTTAGCCCTATTTTCAAATAGCTAAGATCGCCTTTTATATCTGGATCTTTCAGGACCTCCTGAAATTGGGCCACCAGTTTCCCTCTTGGTCCAAAGCTATCCAGCATAACACCATCAGGCTAATTTCTAAATTAACCTAAAGCTTTGTGCTCATGGCTTTATTTGCATTAAAAAAATTAATACCGGATGTAAGAAACCTGATTGGCAGTTTGGCGTCCGTTCGCGTGAAAATGATCTGTGGCTTCGCACTGAAAAACCTTAATGTGAGCCAAGAACGTGACACCCTGGTTTGTTCATTTTGAAACGGAGGATGTTTGGATGCATATAATTTAATTAACATTTATTGAACACCTACTCTCTTCAAGGCGCTGTGCTGTTCATGGTTAATGTCTCAACAGCCCCCCACACACCTGGTAATGTTTTTGAGAAGAAAAACACTTTAAACAAATATTAACTTAGAACCCTAGATGAAAGAGAACGGTTCCACTTTGGGGTGGGGCTTGGGGGAGCCCAGAGCCCCCGCCCAGCCTCTCATCTGCAAGCTAGTCCTGTTTGGGGTTCCCCAGCTTTGCTCCCCCCACCTCCCCGACCCGGTCCCTGCTTCTTTGTGCCGGTGGGAGAACTGACCAGAAGTGACCCGCCCAAGGCCATTCTGGGAGGTCTGGATGAAACAAAAGCTGAGCCCATGACTCCCAGCCCGGCACTTTATTTCTTCTCTTTTTAGTCTTTTATTGCTCTTTGCTCCTAATTTAAAAAATTACTTGTTCTTTCCACTGCCCCTTAATTCCTCGCGGTCCCGGCTCTGGCTAACCTGACCTAATTTCTTTTCTCAGGCATGGATCTTGCTTCCAGAAGCTCTAGTAGGTGTTTTCTTGGGTTATCCCCACTCTCCCTTTCTCTAATACAAAGTTAACATTTCATCCTCTCTTTTTTTCCCTCTCTGCGTGGGCGAGACCACCGAGTCCTGGATTTACTGATTAGGTGACATTAGACAAGGAAAGTTATTTCCCTGGGCCTCAGTTTCTTTATCTGTAGAGTGGGGATAAGAAGCCCACTTCGTCGGGCTGTCAGGCTCAAGGGAGGTGTGGCTGCACCCAGCACAGTCCCCATTCCATGTTCGGTTCTATCCTTCCTGCCCGCCCCAACTCTTAGAGATTCATGAAAAATGCAGAGATTTTTCAGTGTTCCTTAACAGTCGTTTGCATTTTCGGTGCAATCAAACTTGCAGTTTGATTGAAAGGAGAAGAATGATCGCCAAATAAGCTAAAAATGGCACGGGGCAATGACAGTAATTGTCAGCAGCAGGATAATTGATCTAATTACACGAAGGAGAGCAGCTCGCTGGGGAGCGTGCCTGTCAGCCCCGCAGGCAGCAGCTGACGCGGGTCCCACGTCTGGGTGCTACACGAGGACTGGAAGGAACAAGACGAGGCGAGGGGCCAGGGACAGAAGCAGCATCTCTGTAGTGGGAAATAGTTCCGGCAGACGATCACTGGTGTGTATCCTACCGGGCTGCCTCTGGAGAACGGAGCATGCATTTGGGATGACTTAGAAAATATTTTACGACTGCTGTGTTTACTGTTAACTGGCCCCGTCCTGGTGGGGAAACTGTTAAATTCCTAAAACCCAAGGCAGGGACCATCATTTACAGTCACAGGCTAGGAAGAGCCTCCCTGTCCATCTTGAAGGAAGAATCGAAGCCCTGACACGTCTCCAGGGGGGAAAGGAGGCTGCGAATCGATGAGTCTTGTTGGTTTTGATCCTGAGCTGTGCTCCCCTCCAGGAGCAAGTCCCAAGGGCTGGGGGCTGCCGTCCTGCACTCATGGCACTCCCTCCCCACGCCATGGGCCATCCCACTCTGCCCTGGGCCTAATAACCACCCGAATATTCTGTCTAGGGAGGCCTTTACCCTTTTTTAAAAATTGTGGTAAAAAACACATAACATAAAATTTACGATCTTAACCATTCTAAGTCCGCAGTTCAGCAGTGTTACGTATGGTCACGTTGTTGTGCAACAGACCGCCTTGACGTTTTCATCTTACGCAACGGAAACTCTACCCGTTGAACATCTCCCCATCCCCCCTCCCTGCCTGCCCCGGCAACCACTTTTCTACTTCCTGTTTCAATGAGCTTGATTCCTTTAGATCCCTCATGTAAGTGGGATCATACACTATTTATCTTTTGGTGACTGGCTTATTTCACTTAGCCTAATGTTCTCAAGTTTCATCCATTTCATAGCATGTGTCAGAATTTCCTTCCTTTTCAAGGCTGAGTGATATTCCATTGTGTGTATATACTACCTTTTCTCTATGCATTCATCCGTTGATGGGTATTTGGGTTGCTTCCACTTGCATTTACCCTTTTTAAACAAATATTTACTGAGCACCTACCACGTGGTAGGTACCCTGTCAGCTGCCACCTCAGTATCTCCTACGTGTGCCAAAATGTGTCCGAGTGGGAGGGGCAGTGTGTGTGTGAGTCCAGGTAGCTGACAAGAAAGAAAGTGACATCCCTCATTGAGGGAGAGCCACACATAGACCCCTGTCACAGCACCTGTGTAACATGGCGACCCATGTTTCTCAAGGCCCTGGTCTGAGGTCTATCTTCATGTCGTCATTTCCATGATCTCATTTAATCATATCAACAACCCCATAAAGTAGGTGCTGGCATTATCTCCAGTGAGGAAACAGAGAGATGGAGTGACTTCCCCGTGGACACACAGCAGGTTGTGGCAGAACCAGATTCAAACCTGGGCAGTCTGCCTCTGGCCTGCGATTCCTACGCAGTAGATGTATAGAGTCAGACTGTGGGGTCAGGCCCAAGCACTGAGGAGTGGCCTGAAAAAGCTTCCCAGGCAGTTCCCCTGCACGGCCTTGATGAATGACACCCCAGACCCTTGTCCCCAGCCCAGTTCCCCCAAAAGAGCTGCAGGGACCAGCTGGAAAACCTCAGGAGGGTGCTATATTTACGTTTTAGTGTCCCTTGCACCTGCAGGGGGCCAACATGCTGCTCCCAGGGCAGTTGAATGCCCCCACCTGTTCCATGGATGGGAGCAATTCATGGATGCGCGGGTCATTTCCCAGGTGGCGGAATGCGTGGGGTGCCGTGTGAGGCCAGGGGGGCCCCAGTGTGCTGGATGCCCTCTGTAGCCTTTGGCTGCCTTCGTGTGATACGGTGAGGGGTGCCAGGTTTACGACACTCAGTTCACAGTATTTATGGAGCATCTAATATGTGCTAGGGGCTGGGGATGCAAAGGCGATCCGGAAGACGAGGGCCTGACTTCACCGGGGCGGGGGACTTTTGGAAGACTGGTACCAGGGACTTGAGGGGAGGGAGCCTCCCGGCTGCCCGCAGTCACTGGGTCTGGGACGAATAACCCCCACATTCAGAATGCTCCAGCCTTACCAGAGCCCTGGGCGGCGTCTGAAGACTTTTCCATTGGCTGCTCTCTGTGGAGTTCTCTATAAAGTCTTGGGGCCAGGAGTGTGAGGGAAGCTGACTGGTTGTCACAGCAGGATCGTGATGAGATCAACAGAAAGACGCCCACAGACTCGGGGGGAAGTGGCCCTGTCTCGACAGGGTTGTAAAGTGGATGATCACAGTGTGCTCCTGCCTGGGGGTGCAGCAGTCCAGGTCCCTGGATTCCGCCTGGGGATAACAGCCTGCACAGAGCGAGAGCACAGAAGGAGCACCTGCTGGGGAAGCTTCTTCACCATTCCTATGGGTGTTTTTTCTCCCATGCACCCCCTGCCCCCAGCCTAAGGCTCTGGGCACTTTGGCTTGTCTGCTCACCAGGAGCCAGGGATGGATACCAGACGACCCCAGCACCCTGCTGAAGGTGGGTGATGCAAGGTCACTTCCAGAAAGATGCTAGTGGATGGGGTAACCACGCACCCCTTCCATCCCTACTTTCTGTTAATCTCCACTTCCAGCTTCCCCCAAAGTATGGACCTTGTCATCAGATCACCAGCCCCGCCATGGGGATGTTCGTGGCATCTGTAAGGACTGAATGAAGTGTATGTGAGGCGTTTCGCACAGTCAGGCGAATAAGGAACATGCCGTTAGCTCTCGTTTCTCTTGTCCTTTGCCTGCTGGCAGGTGTGCTTTGGGTTTTTCTCTCTGTCTTATCCCTTCATGAATTTCTGGGAAATGCTCATAAATTGGTGGTGGTGCATTCACGCTGGGAACAGTGGATGGAGATGGCAGGGGGCTTTGTGGAAGACACGGGGAGGTTTCTGCATGCCCTGCTTTTTGTGGCTCAGGGGTGAGCGACTTTGCAGAGCTCTGAGCAGGCTTCCAGCTGCTCGGAACAAATCCTGCTGACCTTCGAGCTGGAGCCACAGGCCTCATTTCACGGCATTTCTTTTAATTCTTTCCTGATTGATTTGAGAGATGCCAGTGTGAAGGCAGCTCTGCCCCTCCAGCCCCAGCAGGACGGCGAGGGACGGGTTCTTTCTCTGTTCTCGCTGCCTGAAGATCCCTCACGCCTTTGCCCAGAAGCCCCAGGCTAGAGGATGAGGGGCGGGGCCAAAGGCTGGAGGGGAGGGGCAACTGTCTTCTTGTTTGTGACTTGGCATTTGGGGAACCGGAGCCGCCCGGAGGCTGGCGAAGGTGTGGGAGGCAGGGGCCTCCTTCTTGGTTTTCACAGCCAGAGGTCACTGGCAAAGGTCAGGCTGCCTTGCCTCCCACCTTGTTGCTCAGACAGAATATACTAGATAGCCAGCCTAATGGGGAAACGATGTTCCAGGAAATGGAGAAGAGATTTGGGTAAAAAGAAGAGTGGCAGTGCAACCATTTTGAACCCAAGAAACACATTTGGGTTAGAAAGTTCCACAGTGTGATAGGAGTACTGTTAAACATGTTAAAGCAGGGGGGGCTCATTCAGATATATTACGGAGACCCCTATATAGTGGCTTATATGAATTAAGAGGTGGGTTTTTTCCTCTCTTGTCATGAGAAGTGCAGAGTTAGAGCTGTTCTTGTTGGGTCAGTAGCTCCAAAATGGCAGAGCTGAAGTCTCTGTGATTTTCCTAGCTTTTCCCTTGTGGTTGCAAGATAGCTGCTGCAGCTCCAGTCATTGTGTCTAAGTCCCAGGCAGCAGAAGGGATGAAGGGATCAAGACAAAAGGGGCAATGCCTAGAGCTAGAAACAAAAACTTTTTGAACAAATCCCAGAGATTTCTGGTTACAATTATTGGGCAGAACTATGTCAGATGGCTATCACTAAGGAGGTCAAGAAATTTTATATCCACTCCCAATAAAATCGGTTTCTCTTGGTAAAGAACAGAGGGGAAACCAGATGTCAGGTAGGAATTAGCAGTCCTGCTATAGCGCTTCTCTTGGATTAAATCAAATTCTGCCCGCTTCAATAACCTCCACCCAGTTTTCCTCATTTCTCTTTTTTATTTCCTATCCCTTGTCCAACTCGTGCTTGAGGCTCCCCAGCACTGAGATGGAAGTGGTCAGCTTGGGACTGAGGTCTGGGGTCTGTCTTCACAGACTAAAGGGAGTACCCCGACCCTGCCACAGCACAGATTTCACCAAGTGCCCACTGTTAGATGCACCTCCGCCATCTTGTATCACCCACTATGGGGCCAACTGCGGGATGCTGGCGGAGGTCAGGGTGTACAGGGCGACCTTTCATTGGCCTTTGTGGAATTTGAACCCCGTGACATCCCCAGCCCCAGGCTAACTGATGGGTCTCATTGACACACAAGTGGCCCCTGCAGGCTTTGCTCATGGGACATTGGAGTGCCCCAGCCCTGAGATGGAGAAGATGGCACACCCACAAACCATCTTCACAGCCTCAGGGGGTGTGTTGGGCTGGAGGGGAGACAGTGGAAGAGAAAGGAAGGCCAAGTCCTTATTTACTGTCTTTCTGTTTAAGAAGCATTCACTGACCCCTTCTGGACACTGAGGCCGCAGAGGTGACCCAGCCCACATCGCTCCCTCTGGACCACACTCGGGAAGTTTCAGTGTTTCTGATACGTGGAATTCTTTGCAAAAGGACCATATGCTGGCGAAGACCTTTAGACATTGCCTAATCGAACTTCTTCTTTTTTTAATTGATGAAGGAGGGAAGTAAGTGTGGCCCAGGCAAATGACGTGAGTTACTTAAGGCCACAAAGCGTGTAAAGCTTGTGAAGCCCGTCTCAGATCTGGGTCCCTGGACCGTCAGGCCCATGCGACCACACCGGTTTGTTTTACCAGTTACGGAACAATCCAGCACAGTCGTATTCGCTGTCCTGGGAAGCATCTATAACTCACGATTTGCAGGTCTTTCTCATCTCTGAAAGGGAAACAAGAAGAATAAACTTTAAAGGTTTCACATCCTTTACCATCTATGACCGTTTGTCTACACTTTAAATTATTGTCTGCCGTCTGCATTTTATAATACAAGACTTGCGACCTTTTGCTAATTCTCCTGGGCGAGAGGCTGATGGATGAGAAACGGAAAAGCTGTTCACGAAGAGTGTGAGCTCTTCCAGGAACCCGCCTCTCCGGCAGCAGCTTTCTGGAGAATTGATCTGGAAGTCTCGGCACCCTCTTCCTTCCATGGCAGACGAGAAACGCCCCCAGAATCATTTGCAGGGCAGCCCCCCTCCCATGTTCGGTCTGTGGGCAGCATGCGGGAAATAAGGCACGATGCGTTTCACAGCTTGGAAAATTAGCAATAATTGTCTCCAATCGCTGGGATTTGGGAAGGAAAAGAAGATATAAAATTCCAGGTGCCCCGTGTGTTTGAATAAACAGGGGATCGTGGCGCTGGCTACCTGGGCGGCTCCTGCCACCTTCCTCTCCATGGCTGCTCAGGACCCCAGTGGACGTCCATGCATTTTTGAGGGTCCAAGGGCTCCGGTGTGGTGTGTCGGGAACACTCAGAGAGAGAGCCTTGCTCAATGAGCCACTGTGTCTGTCTTGGCTCCGGCTGGAGCGTGGTGTCCAAGGGAGCCTGGGCCCGAATAAAGACACGCTTTATTTCCCCTGCAGTTGACAGAGGGGGATTTTGAAGGTAGCGGGGGAAACAGAGTGAGCAGTGTTCAGGGACGCAGCCCACCTTCCTGGGTAGTTTTCCACTGCGACCGCCGAAGCAAGCTGGCTGCGAAGACCGAGAGGTTTATGAGCATGCCGTGGGCACTGGCCCGGGCGCCGACCTCCAGGCCCTTTTGCAGTGCCCCCCGCTGCAGCATCTCTCGGTCAAGGAGATGAGGAAGACCTGTGTCCGTGTTCGTTTCCTGTGGCTGCAGGAACAAGGTGCCACAAACTGGGTGGCTTAACCGACAGAAATTGATGGTCCCCACAGTTCTGGAGGCCAGAGGAGGTCCAAAATCAAGGTGTGGGCAGGGTTGGTTCATTCTGAGGCTGTGAGGGCAGGAGCTGGTCCAGGCACCTCTCCTTGGCTTGTAGATGGCCATCTGCGTGTTCACATGGCGTTCTCCCTGTGCAGCTGCTTGTGTCCAAATTTCCTCTTCTTATATGGACTGTGGCGCACCCTGATGACCTCACTTTAACTTGATTATCTCGCTAAAGACCCTATCTCCAAAGATGGTCACAATTTGAGGTACTGGAGGTTAGGACTCCAGCATATGAAGATCAGAGGGACACAGTTCACCCCACAATAGCTTGTACCTTATATTCCATCTTGTTTCTCTGGAGATGGGGAGGCAGCCCTAGGGGTCCCTAACTCTGGCACATCATGACGGAATGATGATTGGCCCTTCTTTCTGCCTTCTGCCTCCATCCTCGTCCTTCTAGATACACTTGTCAGAACCCCACAGCATCTGAACCCTGTTTGTACCAAAATAATTAGAGCTGCTTGTTACTGGTTGCTCCTTAGGGACCAAGCAAGGTGCTAGGCTCTTTATTGATATTAACTCATATAATCCTCATGATCACTCTTGAGGGAGGCTCTGTTATTATTCCCATTGTACAGACAAGGGCACTGGGGCACAGGGAGGTTAAGTAGTTTGCCCGAGGTCACACAGCTAGTAAGTGATGGAGCCAAGATTTGTACCCAGGCCATCTGGTTGCAGAAGATACATTATAAACCATTTCCATTTCACTTAATAGTCTCAATATTTGACATGTAGCCCTCCATAGCCTACCAAGGGCTCCAGATACGTTCTCTCGCTTGCTCTCCATCACAAAGAGCAACATTGGAGGAGCTGAGGAGGGATGGGTTCTCACCAGGGTCATCTAGCTCCATGCTCGAGAATTGGGATGCATTGGGTAAGAGCACAGGGTCTGGGTTCCGCATCTGTGCGCTGTCATTTACCATCTGTGTGATGTTGGACAAGCGATATGACTAACCTCTTTGGGCCTTACTTTCCTCATCTGTAAGGTAGAGATATGACAATCTCTTAGGGTTGTTTAGGGAGGATCAGATGAGTGGCTGGCACATGGTAACTGCCTAATGAATATTATTATTGGTGGTAACATTGTTTCACCATTTCCTTCAACGAACCATCACCCATTACTGTCTCCACCCATCCTCCATCTTTACAGTCCATAGCAGCACCGTCCCATATGGTAGCCCTAAGCTCAGGTGGCTGTTGAACCCTTGAAATATGGGTAGTGTGAACTGAGATGTGCTGTAAGGGTTAGATACATACCATATTTTGCAGGTTTAGGACCCCCAAAATGTAAAGTGTCTCATTCATAATTTTTACACTGATTATACATTGAAGTGATGTTTTAGATATATTGGGTTAAGTAAAATATATTATTAAAATTAATTTCATTTGTGTCTTTTTACTTTTTCTAATGTGGCGTCTAGAAAATCCAAAATGGCACCTGTAGATCACATATACTCCTTTCGGACAGTACTGGTCTATACTGAACACTGTAAGCTCAGGGACCACATCTGCTTTGTTTACTGCTGTGTCCCAGCACCTCACTCAGATCCTGGCCTCATAGGAGATGCTCAAAAATATAGTTGTTGGTTCAGTTTTAATTGGACAGATGGTCAGTTCTTAGCCTCAGAAAGGTCTATTGGGTACCAAGCCAGGAACAGGGGAAAGCTCCCGCTTCCCCAAGCTTGGGGAGGCTCTGCAGACTGGAGTTTTCATCTCATTGGGTCTCTGGTGTTGTCACTACCCCTCGGGCTTGGCCCAGGTTGGCCTCCCGCTAAATGGCTGGGTTGATGGCCGGCTTCCGCCTCTGTTGAGGTTGCCTTGCTATTCGGCCCAAGGGAAAACACTGCTGTGGAAGTCTCTTCTATTTTCAGCATGTTCGAAAAGCCAGTTTTGCACAGAGGACATGAAAGCTCCCTTCATTGGCCAAAGGAGGCCCATGAAAAGGATCACTGTGTACGGTGAGCAGGAGAGAATGGCCGGAAGGAAATTTCCACCAAGTTTGAGGTCCTCTTCTGGACTTGGCTTCTCAGATTGAGTCTTGTAAAGATAGGAAATTTAATCTTTCTACCTCTGTTCCTCCTCCTCCTCATCCCCTTCTTCCCAAAAGCAACCCCAAACACAGCCCTTGTGAGGGGGTGTGTCCCCAACATTCCTCTTTGACCTCAGGTCTGTGGTAACAGACTAGCTCCACCCCAAATGCTGACACATTCCAAGACTTTAGGCCACCAAGTGGGGCATCTCAGGAGAGGGATTTCGGCCAAAGAATGCGGGAGCTGGAAAGGGTCCTAGAGAAGAGTCTGGTCCAGTCTCCCCCATCTTGGATTCCTGTGGTTCTTATCCTCCCCAAACATCTCTGCTGCTGGTGAGGGCTCCCCATGCAGGAGACGTGGGCCCCGGTGACCACAGCCAGAGCTCAGCTAACCAACCCCACTTTCTCCTCATGTCTCCTTTCAGATCGCCATGAGCCTGGCTATCCCATTCGCTCTTCTGAGGGGCCAGGGGGATGTCAGTGAATTTATATGAACTTGGATTCACCTCCACCCAAATCCTGACAGCGTGACTTGACTTTTGTCTTTGAGCGAGTGACAACTTCTCTGAGACTTGGTTTCTTCATCTATAAAAATGGAAATGGTAGCACCTGCCTAACTTGTCGTTGAGGTTAAATGAGATAATATGTAAACGGCAGCAAACAGTACCCAGCATGGGGTAGACATTTAGGAAGCAGGAGCCCTTCTCTGCTGGTTCCTAAGCGTTTGCTGCTCCATCTCACCCTGCTCTGCCTCCTGGCTCTCGGCAGCTAGAGCTAAGCTCCTTCGCTCCTCTGGACAGGACAGGCCAGAGCAGGGCTCCCGGGCCCTGAGGCTGGTCTCTAGGATTTTCACCCAACTTCATGACACCCCGTGAAGATTTCTCTCCCATGGCAGATGTGAAATTATTGGATAAAGTATTCTGGAAGTTGGAGATTCCTGGTATTTCTACGTCTTTGCTTTTCAGAAGCCACCTGTTCTTCCTGTTGGTATCAGGACTAGATCAAGGAATCTTGGCAAAGAGAAGACGCTACTTTTAATTAGACATCCTGGGCCTCGTTTCCCATTTGGGGATCACTCAGTGAGCTCCATCTGGGTGGAGGAGAATGAGATCAGGAAGTCATTTTTAAAAGAAATATAAACTCGGAGGGTCCCAGGGATTAACTGAAGTCGAGGACCCATTGCGAACATGGCACCTGGCCTGCAGTAGCATCTTAGTGTGTGTTAGTCCCTTGTCCTTGGGGTGATGCCTAGTGCAAGTCGTAGAGGAAAGGAAAAGCACTTGGAGTCCTAGACCAGGGTTCACGTGTCAGCATTGTCTCTCATTAGCTGTGTGCCCCCGAGCAAGCCACTTGGCATCTCTGAGTCGCAGCCTCCTCTCTTAAAAATTGAGAATAATCACGACTCCACCTTCTTCATGTGGCGATTGTGAGGATTGAATAACTAAAGGAAAGTGCTTTATCCATGAGAAAACACACAATGTTAGCTTCCCGTCCTTATTATTGTGGTTAATGATAATAATTGTGCCTTTTTAAAAATTTGGTTTGAATAAATATTAATCAATTCCCAGCAGTGATTCAAACCAGATTTTTTAAAATAACAGTTTCTAGGCCGTTTCCCAACTCTTGCAACCAAATATTGATAATATTTGCTTTCTGGCCGCAGAAACTTAGTTTTCTTCCATCCTTTCTTCCTTTTTGCCTGATCCATAAGCGAGCCTCAGCTCGCCAAGGTACCAGATGGAAAGACTAGGAGCTCTTTAGAGAAGAAAGACAAAGCTCTCTGAAAAACTGCAGATATAGAATGTTTGTTAATTTCAGAGGCGGAGGGTCTGCTTTTGTTTTTGGGTGTAATGCAAGGAGCGTTTATTGCTCCTTGGGCTTTTCATTGGTTTACTGATATTTTTTATGGCTTCTTATTTTAATGTTTACAGGTCCCCAGATGCTGAGATTTACTGACATCTGTGAAGGGATTGATAAATGATTTAGCTGAAATAGCAAAACTGGAGGCATTGCATGAATTAGAAATTGTGCCACGGAGCCCACGCAGGAGCCACTAATTTGTTTAACGCGATTTGCTTTCTGCAGCTGCTCCTCACCACAGTCATAGGAAAAACAAATATCGCCTGTTCCCCCAAGCAGAGCAGGGGGTGCCCGGGGGCGAGCGGGGGAGGTGGGAGGTGGGGGTCAGGCCTCTAGAGAGCGTCAGGTAGGGCTGGCCAGCTGGCCTGGGGTAGGTCAGAGGGCAGGGCTTCCTTCTCGAGGTCTGGGCAAGCCCTTAATCCACTCTGCCCTCACCTCTGTGCAAGTCCGAAGAGGTTTATCTGAGTGAATGGAGGGGAAGATGGATGTGTTATCCTCGCATCATTTCAGAGAAGCTGTGGGACCTCTATAAACAGATTGACCCTCAGATGCCAGCTGGAGGAGAATCCCTCTAACATTTCTTCCAACCTTGTGATTCCCTCTTAACTCTGTGACTTTCCTAAGGCTGATTTCAGTGGGTTTGTTTGCCTATTCCTTTCTCTTCTCTGGCACAATCAGAGATTTCTTGCAGTTTCTAAAATCCTTTTTTTCTGATGTGAGAGAGGTATTTGTTTATTACAGAAAATATAGGAAATACACGCAAGTCAAATGAATGAACTAGGAATCACCAGCAGACCCACCCTCCAGAAATAATCATTGTTAACAATTTTGATAAGTATCCTTCCAGACTTTTTTCTCTGGTCTCCATCTTTGTATTTTTTAAAAAATGGATGCACACAGTCTATAGATTTTGGTAACCTGTTTTATTCACTCATCACTTTGGAGCAGTTTTTCTCCATCGTAGTCGACAGCCTTGCTTAGACTGGTGTTCAGAAAGGGGCTTGGGCAGACTGACCGTAACAACAGGTCGCTCACTGGGAATGGTTTGCCCAAGAGTCTCGTGCCCTTGAAGAGAGGCGAGATTGGCTGCAGCTGTGCATTTCTGTTTGGGTTGCTTCAATGTCATTTCAAGGGCACTGACGTGATGTAGATGCCCCTCTCCCTTTCCTTAGCCCTTTTAAAGTACCGTTCTTAACAAGTTCCTAAGGATGACTTTGTTATTCTTGTTCCCTTCCTTTCTTCCTTCTATCCATTCATTCATCCATGCATGCATGCATCCATCCATCCAACCTACTGTCTGTCCTGCCTTCCATCCAAACATCCATCCATCCATCCAACCTCCTGTCTGTCTATTCTTCCTTCCATCCAAACATCCACCCGTCTATGCATCCATCTTACTGTCCATCTGTCCTTCCTTCCACCCAAATGTCCATCCATCTATCCGTGTATCCATCCATGTATCCATCCATCCATCCATCCATCCATCCATCTGTCCAATGTATTGAGCAACTAAGCTGTGCCAGACCTTGTGTTTAGAGGTAAGGATGCAGAGATACATGATGCAGGCTCCTGCCCTCTAGGAGTTTCCATTCTCTATCCAGGACTTCCATGTACCCTGGACATCGGATGGTAACCTCCATCTTATTTCTCCACCATGAAATCAGTCACTTCCAGCCAGCTCCCTGACAGATGACTTGGGGTATGGCAAGTAATGCCTCCCTTACCACGGAGGCATCTGAAGGGTAGAAACTCTGTATCGCCTCTCTTCTGTAAATCTCTAAATGCCGACTACACTTACAGGCCAATGCTCGTCGAGACCACAAGATGAACTGAACATCAGAGCGGAGGGTGAGGCGGCAGCAACGTTTTTAAAAAGCTGTTTCTCCACACGGCTGTTATGTGTCTCATCTGCCAAAGTAGAATGAGGATGGTGACAAAAAACTTTTGAATTATTTTAGGTTTTCTTTTTTTAAGTGTGGGCTTCTCGGGTCTTTGAGAGACTGCATGGCTGTTCTGTTTAGGTTTAAACAGCATTCCCCTCGCTCGTGGTGTGTCCTAGAGAAGCACAGCTTTGTCTAAAAAGCTAAGATTTATTTTTGCCAACTCAGCGCCCAGCCCAGCAACAGCATGCACGTGGCAGGAGGAAGTACCTCACTGGAGGCTGGAGCAGTTAGTGTCAAATGTTACAAGTGTGAACAGCCCCCACGCCCCCTCGGCCGGAGCAGGCTGCGCTTTTTCCAGCTAAGTGGGGTTTTTTTCTTTTTATGGTGCCATTTCGACTTCCTGAGACTGCCATAGATTTATAAGGAAATAATTCCTCCAGTGGGCCTTAGTGACATCCTAAAGTTTTACATGCGCCTCTTACGAAATTGCTAGAACCGTTCCATGCACACATTTCCGTGTCACCAATGTAGGCCCGGTTATTGCATGAATGGAACTACACTGTATGTGGTTTTTTAAAGATGCCAAAATATTTTTAAGAACTCCAACCCTGAGGCAAACCTTGGAGGTTAATTATAATAACGAAGGTGGCTAGCGCCCAAGCTATTCAGACAGGGACAGTGGCTCCTTGCTCTGCCCCAGTACCGCAGACACACCTTCCGCTGACTGTCCAGCAGGGTGCTCCCTCCGCGAGCCCTCTGGTCTTCTTCTCCTCCCTGCCATCGTCTGTGTAGGCTGTCTGGCCATTCTTGGGTTGATAGTTGATGTATGGGAACAACCTTGGGATTTGGGGTCGAAGGGCCTGAATCTGAGATCTGGCTGTACCGACCCCATTTATTGTTAGCTGTGTGGCATTGGTTAGATTACCATCCTACTCTGGGCTTATTTCTACATCTGTAAAAGGCAGGCATAATAATAACACTCGTCTTAGGATTTTTGGGAAAATAGAGCTTTAAGGGGGAGCAAGAGGCAGCATAGGAAGAAAAGGAGGTAATACCATCTTACCATCATTTAAAATTTGACCATAGTCTGGAAAGCCTCGCTTCAAACTGTGCCATCTATGTGGAGGGAGTTGAGTATGGAAGTTACAGGTGCAGATTCTGAGCTCACGCAGTGCCTGGGTGTGAATCTCAGCGGAATTGGTGTGTGGCTTTAGGCAAGTTACGTAACTTCTCTGTGCCTCCATTTCCTCTCTATAAACTTGGGATAATAATCATTTTTACTCAATGGGGTTGTTCTGATGATCACCTTCGATAATCAGTCTGAAGTGCCTTGCACAGTGTCTGATATATTGTTCAATAAATGTAAGTAGTAGTGGTCCTTTTTTATGCCTACTGAAAACCCTGCATGTAAATTTCAAACGAAAATTTGTAATTTTTTCAGGACACAGAGCAAATACCCATTTTATGTCTTCCTTCTTTCTTTCTTCGCGTATTTAGACCAACATATATAGAATTGGCATTGGGATACTTTATTTAAATAGCTACCAATTGCAAGTTCTGTTTGGGTAGGGCTTAAATATATATATAGTATTTTCAAAATGTGGCAAGGATAGGTTCTCTTTCCTTGAAAAACACGTGAGCCATTTCTCTCAAACTTTCCAAAAGAGTTCAACTTGGGATGGAGGCAAGAACAGAGAAATTTAATAAAGGAAATTTGGGGGTGTTTTTTCCAAACTGCAATACAGAAGATCCGGGGTTATTGTGAAGCACAAGCCGATCTTCGCAGGCCCCTCTGCCTTGAATTCTGCCATGCTGAGGGGACATTTTATTAAGATAAGACTATCCCATTGCCTTCTGTTGTTCTTCGGACTCTGCATTTTTGGAACTCATTTGCATCGATCTGCATGTTGAATCCAAGAGGGTGTGATTATGGACAAATAAGATGGAATGGAATAATATGGGCGTCCTGCTCCATTGGTATTCAGATTCAGTATTCAAGGCTCAACATGCCTGAAATACAGATTTTGCTGTGAAATACAATGGGTTGCCAACAAATGTTTCTTGATTAGACGAAGAAGGAAAGGGAGGAGGAAAGGGAAAAGAGAGAAGGAGCGGCAGAGAGAGGAGCCCAGTGCATTATAGTAGGCTGGGGTCAGGGACCCTCCTCAGAGAGGCAGGGCGACGTCAGATAACCCCCGTGTCCACATTCTCCAGCCCTCTGTGTGGTGGGGTCTGGACAGAGCCAGAACGACCACTGTTGCCCCATCCTGTTCTCCAAAACCGTGCCGAGGGTAGCTGGCGAGCACTCTCTTGGTCATATTCCTTCTGCCAGCGGCTGGCATGGGGCCCAGCAAAGAGGAGATGCCTTCAAAGTGCTGGTTGCATGAAACATGCCTTTGACCTGACAGTTTCTAAATGAACGTGGCCGTTTTCATTGATTGAACTCGTGTTACATGATGTGACTATATTTTGAGAGGAAAGTGGCCCTGACTCGTTCACAAGGATCATTCAGTTCGGGGAGTTTGGTCCAGCAGAGTCTCTAGTTCTTAACGGTCGTTTGGCCTAAACTATTGACCGTAAACATTCGAGCTCTTCCAGCCTCCCTCCTGAGACGGTGACAGCATCTTCGTGCCACGGAGGCCTGCAGGTGTTCCCGCCCCGACCACTATTTTTGTAATAAGATGTGAAAGTCATGCACCCGTGACTTGGGGCTTTACCTCGCAAGGGTCCTCCAGCTCATAGATCGCACGCCAAGGCTGTGTTTTCCGTGGGGCTTGCTAGAACACTGGTCTGCCTCCAGATAAATGTCGTGCAGTAATGAACACACATGCTCTCAACCCTTGGAGTTTCATGCCAGGCCTTCCCTTGCCTCTCTACCAGAGGCAGAATTTCGCTCTTCTTTTGGAAGGAACCCAGTGGAAGACAGAGTGGTGTGGGCCCCGCGGCCCTGACCTCTTCATCCCTGTTTCCATCCAAAGCAGGGTGTTGGAGCTCCAGCGTCGACCCAGGCTCTGCTTCCTACTCATTTATGGGCATCACAAACTGCTCTGGGCCTCAGTTTCCTCATCTGTGAAGCAGGGGCAGTCATGGTCCTGCTTTAAAAGGCCCTGAGAATTGAATGAGGCACGTCAGCGTCCCAGCGCCGCCCCTGGCTCAGGGGATCCTGGTTATTGTGGGAGCATATCCACATCCCCTGAAGGGCTTTTCAAACGCCTGAGATGCCCTGACCTACGAGTCAGGATCTCTGAAGGTGGGGGCCCAGGAGCTCGTATTTTTTAAAATCGCTTGAGGTGATTTGCGTGCTCAATCAGGGTTGAAACTACTGATTCTAAAGGAACTGGATTCACGGGGTCTTCTCTTTGGGAGGCTGTGTAGCCGGGACAACCAACCCATAGGAGCTGGAGTCAGAATACTTGAGTCCCAAGCCCGGCATCCCCACCTCCCCCCCCCCCCCCGCAACCATTCATCATTGACCTTGAGCCAATGACTGAATTTCCCTGGAAGTCAGTTTACTCAACAAGAAAATGAGGGCAACGTTAGCACCCCCCCTTAGCTCATATAGAGATTAACTGAGATAATACCTGTCAAGTCTTAGGAAGTGCCTGGTACAGAGTAAGCCCCCAGTAAGCGGTAAGAACTTTATGTCTCTTAACTAATTTAATCTTCGTAACAACCCTAGGTAGTAGGTTATCTATCATTATCCGCATTTTGCCTATGTGAAAACAAAGACACAAGGCGTTTATGTAACTTCTCTAAGGTCACAGGTGTTCAGAACCGCTCCCCCAGACACCGGGCTCCTCACCATGAGACAGCACAGGACGCGCCATAGTGACCTGCCGGGGAGTCAGCCCCGCTGAACGACCGCGATTGCCTGGTCCAGGAGCTGCAGCTGGCCGCACAAGTGGGCCCTGAATGCAGGCTCCGCAAATGGCACTAACTCATACCAGTCTGATGGCAGCAGCCCCCTAGGGGTGGGGCTCATGGGGGAAGAGGGAGAACTCAGCCCAGACCCTTGCTTTTCGGAGGGAACTGGCTTCTGCGAATTTACAGCCTTCCATGAACTGTTCTCTTTGGAGTCAATACAGTTGTTTCCTATAAGAGCATAGAGAAGCCCCAGGCAATGCTAGGTTCCTGAAATGAGGGTGTCCTCAGGCAGCCATTGTAGCCCTGACTTTTCCCTCTCCCCATTTCTATGGCAAGGAAAATTGCCCCCAGGAACTAAGGAGGTTCCCAGGTCCAGCCGCCTTGGACCCGTGCACCCCTCTGCAAGCGCGAGCCTCACAATTGCCCGCTCTGTCTCTTGCCAGCCAGCTGGGCCGAGGGGGCCTGGGCACCCGCAGCCTTCTTCCTCCCCCCGTCCCTCCCTCCCCTTCTCCTGTCCCTCTGGCTCCACGCCCTCCTGAATGTTCCATTCTCAACAGCCACAATCAGGAGCCTGTTTCTGTGCTGGGAAAAAGAGCAGCATGAAGGCTTTTAAACTTGCTGGGTAATTTAAGGTATTTATCGCTATTTGGAGAGCTTTGCTTGTTTTGAATCCATTCCCCCTCCAGCTTTCAGATATGGTGCAAATGATTATTTTTTTTTTCTCTGAAAAGGATGCTTCTGAGTCCTTCCGCTGCCCCTGAGGCTGGGTTCTGAATGCAGCCCCCAGACCTGGGCGCATCTGCGAAGGTTTTGTTCCTTCTCTGTAAACATTAATTGGGCACCTTCTCGTTCCAGGCCAGACTTCTGTTTGCAGACTGCTTTCCCTTCCAGTGCTGGCCTGTGAGTGTTTCTAACACCTGGAGCAGCAGAGTAGAGGTCAGAGAGCGTGGGCCTTGCATCCAGGCTGACCCTGAGGTCAAGCCATGCTCTGCCAACTAGCTGTATGACCCTGGGCGCAGCTCTCAGCTTCTCTGGAACTCTATGTTTTGTCTGTAAAATGGTTGTGATAACAGCTCCTACTTTATTGCTCTGGAAATCAGACGACCTGGGTTCAAATCCCCCCTCTGCCACTTCTCATTCTGTGATCTTAGCTTCTTTGTTCTGAGTTAACTTATCTTTAAGTTAGGGATGACAGGGAGTCCTCAAAAGGTCATGAGAGGACAAAATGAGTTAATGCATATAAAGTGCTCATGCCTGGCACGTAGAGAGTGCTCAATGCAACCAATGTTAGCTGAGAGAGAGAGAGAGAATACATACGTACATACACACACACACACGCACACACACACAAGCATCCTCTCGCAGCAAGAGGCACTTGATAAATCTGAGTTTCTCTCGCTCTCCTTCCTTTCCTAAAACCCAAATGAGCCAATAGCTGGACAGTGGTGGAAGCTTGCAAAGAAGTTGGAAGCAGCTGTCCTTTGCACTCAGCTTGCTGAGGTCTTACTGACCTAACAGGGAGACAAAGGAGGTGGGTGTCCCCTGGCCAGGTGCACTCCGGCCGCAACAGCCCAAAGAAGGCCCCCTTGGCCTGCTGACTCCCCTCTGTCTTTGGGCTGCTAAGGGAGACCCTCTCGAGGGGCCTGCGGCAGAGACAGTGCCCAGAACCAAGGCTCAGGATCTACAAGCAGTGTCTGCCCTGCCGTCGCCCTAGGCCAGAGCGGTCATTCCTCCCTCCTCCCTTTTCCCTTCCAGTCTCTCCATGGACTGCTTCCCTCTCCCCTGGCTCCGCAACTCGGCCTCCTTCATGGATCTCGCACACACGTACACCACACACACGTACACACACACACACATACACACACTCCCAGCTTAGTGTTTCTCCCTCAGCCTTTTCAGTTACTTTGACTTCCCATGTTGGATTACCCCAAAACCAGGCTGGTTTTCCTGCCCTGCCTTCTGAAGGCGATGGCGGATGAGAGAGCCCTGAGACCGTGTATGGAGAGGACAAGATAATCACTGGCTTGGAAGGCTTGAATCGAAACAGTGGTGAATGGCCAGTTTCATCTTTCTCCTTAACACCGGGTGAGGGCAGAGGATCTTTCCCCTTAGCTTACATCTGGTCTGCTGGCCTGCATCCATCCCCTCCTCCAGGAAGCCTCTCGTGATCTCTACTCTGATTGGACACTGCGGTTTTGTGCTCCCATGAGCCAAACCAAGGGATGCAGGGGGCGGGGGGTAAGAGCCAGGCGGCTTGATGGAAATCTTGAGTCTGCAAGTGGTTTGCCTTTGCTGTGCCTCAGTTTCCTCATTTGCAGAAGGAGGCCGATATGAGCCTCTATTTCATAGGGTTGTCGTGAATATTCAGTAAGATGGTCCATATGAGGTGCTTAGCATGTCTGCCACGTATCATTACTATAACTAGTATTATTATTTTCATCACAGAAACACTTCTTAGACTGGACTGTAGTCAGTGATTTGCTTGTCTGCTTCCCCGAAGGGTCTGGCAGCAAATTAAGAGCCAGAACTATCTTGTTCAATTCCAGAGAACAATGATGATGTAGAAGAGGCCAGTGTCCCATGCAGGTGATACTTTGTGTACAAAAGATCCCTTGACTTATGGAAGAGCTCTCTTTATCTCACGTTCAAGTTTTAGACATTTCACCGGACTTGCTTTTTTTCTCTTCTTTCTCTCACCCCTCGCCCTCTTTTTCCATATTGCATAAGGTGAGGAGAGTCTATCGACAGCGCAGTGGAAGCCCCGGTGTTCCTCACAGGTGTGTGGCAGTGGGAAGCTGGCACACTGGGCCGGGACCCAGAGATTTCCTCTCTGCACCTGGGGTCGCCACCAGCATTTCTTCTGACTGGTCAGTGACCACGTCTTACTGGTTAGAAACTATTTTAATTATCAACCCTGGAGGAGAGAATGCTAAAGGTTCTGCTCCGACTTTAGATGTTTTGATATATTTAGGTAGCCCAGGGTTTTGATTCCTGACTGTGAAAATACCTGCGCAGGCCAGGGCAGTACAAGGGAGGTTGTTTCTAGAAGCATGGTGAGCGAGGGATGTGCTTGGTGTCTACAGGCTCCCCGGGGGCCGTGGAATGGTCTTCAAGGTCGGCTCTGGCACACGGAATAACAGCTCGTATGAGTGACGTGTGACTCGCTCAGGGTCCCAGCTGTCCAGCTGTCTTACTGCAGATGTCCATGCAGAGAGGGTGGGAAGGAGCAGACAGCTCCAGAAACGGACAAGAAAGATTGTTGCTTTCTGCTTCCTGGAAAACTCTGCCGAAATACTCCAATGAATGAAAACCTTTAAAGGAAAACCGCTTTCTGAGCCATCCCGTGACTTGTGTTCATTGATTCTGTGAGCGAGAGTTTCTGAGAGCTGGCCGCCTGCCTGGCCCTGGCCTCCTTCCGTAGTAGAACATGCGAGTGTGGTTGGCTTCCCAATGGGGCAAGATTACTCCCTGTGATGGGCAGCTCAGTACATGACGAGGAGTGCACACACAGCTAGGCAGCTCTCCTGGCTGGAAAACTGCCTCATTATGTTGACTGCGAGTCCACCTGCCCCCAGATGGGGACCTTCCCCCAGGTTTCCCGTGCCACTAACATGGCACTCCGTCCTCCCACTGCTTCCACCCAGACATCCAGGCCTGAAGATTAGCCTGAACCCCTGATACAGGCCATACCTTCCCCATGACTTTCCTGGGGCTGCCATAACGAATTACTGCAAACCAGATGGGCTTAGAACAACAGCACTGCATCCTCTTGCCGTTCTGGACGCCAGAAGTATGCCATCCAGGTGTCTGCAGGCTCGAGGGGCGAATGCGCTCTTTGCCTCGTCCAGCTTCTCGTGGTTGCTGGCTGCTTCGACGTGGGGCCACATCTCTCCACTCTGTCTTCACGTTGCCACCTCATCTTCTGTCTCTCGTATAAAGACACTTGTCATTGGATTTCGGGCCCACCCTGGGAGTCCAGGATGATCTTCTCATCTCAAGACCCTTCGTCCCATCGGCAAAGACCCTTCGTCCAAATGAGATGTCATTCACACGATCTAGGAATTCGGACGTGGACATATCTGTCGGGGACCGCGTCAACCTATCGCCCCTTGTAGGAAAAGTTAGTTCTACGGAGGAGGTTTTCTACGTGAGCCTAAAGCGTGTTCTCAAGAATAAACATCTGGTGTTATCTGTCTCCAGCTGTTTGACTTGAACAAGTTGCTTCACCTCTTTGGGCCTCAGTTTCTTCACCCATAAAATGGGAATAATAATAACAGTGTCAACCCATTGGCTTGCTGTGAGGATTAAATGAATTCACATAAGTACAATGCTTGGAGTGCCATCTGGCACAAGTACTCTCTAAATATTAGCCATTCTTATGGCGATTATCATCATGGCATCGTAATCACATTGGAACTACCCCAGACGATGGGCCTTTCCTACACCACTCACTTAACACTCAGTGTATTCTAGTGTACTGGCCTTTTACAGTCTCCACTTCCTGGCTTCATGAGAATACTTGGAATTTGTTGCTGTGTGACCTTGGGCAAGTTCCTTGACCTTTCTGAATCTGGTAGGACTTCCCCTGGAAAGGCCGCTGAAAGATTAATAGTGGTCAGTCGTGTGACACATGGTTTACATCCATCTACATCAGCTGAACAGTGAGAAAACAGCCCATGTACAGTTTGCTGTTTCTCCATAAACACCAGTGGCATCTTTCTTCCCTGCCTGTGTCTTGACGGCTGCTTGGTCTTCCCTGCTGTCGGCTCGCCCAGCCTGTAGGGAATGCCTTGCAGTTCCTTTTAGTCCGTTTCCTCCTCTGAGCCCAATTTTTCTTCCGTGTCCAGCGCAGACGAGGCTGTGCGTTCCAGATTGCTGTCCGCCAGCAGTTTTTTGCCGACATGTTTGGGAAGGAATTTTGTGAATATCTAATCAAATCTTAGCTGTTCTATTAGTTAAAAGATTTCCAGGTAAATCATAACCTGGTGTGCTTAAAACTCCTAACCTTTCATGAAAACGCTGCATCATTTCCTCAGGAACCAGATCATAGATCCTACAGTAGCTAATATTTCTGTAACGATGGCCACTCTTAGATCGTGCTTCCTCTGCGCCAGGCGCTGTTCTCAGCACTTGACATTCCATCCTCCCATCCGAATGAGGACGGTCCCATTACTTTTACTTTTGTAAAAAGTCCCCATTTTACAAGTGAGGAAGCAGGTGAGACCCAAAGAGCTTCGGTCCCTTCTTGCCAGTATCACCCAGTTTATAGGTGGCGGAGCTGGAATTCACCCCTGTGTTCGGAGTCCAGCAGCCGTGCTCCGAGCCTCACAGGACTGCCTCTCATTAAATGTCTGCGATGATTTCCAGGAGGCACAGAGGTCCATAAATGTTTTATAGAATTGATTGAATGTTGAATGGCTTTTCCTGTTAATGAAAGGAAGCTCAGTCATTGCTAACAGATTAGAACATTTTCTTGGTCCCCCCTGGCTTGAGACTAGAGCACCTTTTTCTCTCATTGGTTTTCTCATCCAGGATATAGTCCCCTCGTCTTCTTACTTGTGTGTGGTGTAAAAAGATGGTCTTTCAAACCCAGATGCTGTGTGACCTGGGCAAGCCATATAACCTCTCTGAGCCTCAATTTTGTGCAGTTAATAACATTTAACACATTAAGTGTGCTAAGGAGAAATAAAGCACCAGGCACAACAGGAGGTCTCAATACACAGTAACTTGAAAAGTAAAATATAAAATACTTTGCGTTTTTCTGAATCACGGTGCTGCGTAACTCTCAAGATATGTTTTTAACTATATTTTGTTGCCCAGATAAATCTAGTATAGTTATCTCTATTCTAATAACACACTTTTTAGTGGAGATCCCTCTAATCAGTTATTTATATTGAAATATTCCGCCAAGTGAAGAGTTAATAAAGAAATGCTTTTAAAGTTGAACCAGAAATGGATGATGATCATCGTCGTATTTATGAAACAGAATAATTTCCTGTTGAAATTCTAATTAAGACACTATAAGAGGCCCAGTGGTGCAGTGGTTAAGTTTGCACATTCTGCTTTGGTGGCCCAGGGTTCGCCGGTTCGAATCCCGGGTGCTGACATGGCACCGCTTGTCAAGCCATGCTGTGGCAGGTGTCCCACGTATAAAGTAGAGGAAGATGGCCACAAATGATGTTAGCTCAGGGCCAGTCTTCCTCAGCAAAAAAAACAAAAAAAAAAAGAGAGGAGGATTGGCAGCAGTTAGCTCAGGGCTAATCTTCCTCAAAAAAAAAAAAAAAAAAAGACGCTATAAGAGAGACATCGATTACTCTGGCTTCTCTCATGCTCCCTCCTCGGTGCGAGCTGTGACCACTCTTCTGCCCCCTCACAGTGAAGAATGGTCTCGAATTGCCTCCTACAAAGCCTTGCCCCTTTCCACCTGGATGATAAGGAGTCCTGGCTTTCCAATCTTTTGTTTTTCTTCTCTCTTTTTTTCTTAGCTATGTAATGTCAGGAGGACGCATTACTTATCTTCAGGATCCAAGAAGTTAACTGGGACCAAGAATAATAATAGTAGTAATAATAATAATAATAATTTGAACAATAACAACTGCTATTATGAGCTGAGTGCTTCCTCAGTGTCAGATGTGCTGGGTTAAGACTTGACTCACCATAGTGGTCGAAGAACCACCAGCTCTCAAGTCTGAGTCCTGATCCTAAGCTGTGTACTTGAACAGCTGACTTCTCTGTGCCTCGGTTTCCCCTCCTGTAGAATGGAATTAATAACGTTGGCCTTCTTCCAGGGTTGTTTTGAGGTTTGGATGATAGAACGCGTGTTAGGTACACAGCACGCTTCTGGCGGGCTGTGAGCACTGGCTCGGGTTAATTACTGTGAGTTCCTTGAAGAACTTCCTGGTGGAGGGACTTTCTGTGGGTTAGGAACTTGGACTCCGAGAGGCCTGGGGGCTTGTTCAGGGTCACATGTGCTTGGTTGGGAGGCGGGGGCTTGAGCCCAGCGGGGACTCCAGACTCGGGGCTCACACCCTATCCGCTCGCACGGCTCCACCGGTCATCTCGGGAAATATTGTCTGCACAAGGGGGAAACTGCAGAATGATTCCCTTTTTATACCAGTTGGATTTTTGAGCCGTTCTCTCATCTGGGCGGGAGACCAGCCTTCAGTGTGTGACGGGTGTATTAGTTTCCTGTTGCTGCTGTGACAGATTACCACAAATGAGGAGCTTAAAACAGCACAAGTGTGTCATTCTGCGTTCTGAAGGTCAGAAGTCTGCAGTGGGTCTTGGGGGCTAAAATCGAGGTGTTGGCGGGTCTGAGTTCCTTGTGGAGGTTCTAGGGAGAATGTTCCTTTCCTTTTCCAGCTTCTAGAGGCCGCCTGTGTTCCTTGGCTGGGGGCTCATCGTGTCACCCTGTGCTCCCACGGTCACATCCTCCTCCTGCCTTCCTCTCATAAAGACTCTTGTCGTTAAAACTGAATAATCTGGGATAAACTTCCCATCTGCAGATCCCAACTTCACAGTCTCCTTCTGCCCTGTAAGGTCACTTGTCCCCAGGTTCCAGGAGAAGGACGTGGCCCTCTTTGGTGGCCGTCCTTCTGTCCACTGCAGATGGTCATTCTCATCTTGCCCCAATGCTGGCCACATTCTCACTGCACGAGGTGCCACGTGGTGTTGGCTTCGGGGCGAGGCAGATTTCGTCCCACCCCGAGCCTCTCCCTTACTGACCCCGGAGCCTCGGGCTGGGCCTTTCATTTCTTTGTGCCCTGTTTTCTCCTTTCCTCATCTGAAAAATTGAGGCTTCGGGACCAGTTTCTCAGGGCTGTGGCGAGCACAAAATGAAGGAATGTGTATAAAGCTCCTGGTCCTAAAGGGCTCTCCAAAATGGGAGCCATTATTCTCACCATGATGACTTTTAAATTATTTTTAATGCTTCTGGAACAACAAACAGAGCCCAGGGTCTTGGTAAAAAATGAACAAGGGTCTTAGCGTGCGGGTCCCTGATAATGGCCTCCAAAAAGCAGAAAAAACCCAACCTGGTTCCAGCTCACCAGAACCGGCCTCGCTGGGGAACAAAAGGGTCATTCAGCTGCTCAGATGATAGGTGTGACCCAGCCGGGGGAGGGGAGCGCAGGTTAGTCGGTCAAACAGTATTTTATTGTGAAACCTGCAGATCAAGGCGGCCTCGGGCAACAGCGTTTGTATTCACAGAGGCACCAGATACTTTATGCTCCTATCGGGCCCAGAGCCTAAATAGCAACGCTGTTTGATCAGCCTTTTTCACAGGTTGTATGATGTTCCCAGGAGGGATTGGGTATAAATCTTGCAGGGTGTCCATTTGAAAGTGGGAGAAGCCAGTGGAAATTTGAGAGGAGTAGAGCAGAGAGAGAGGAAGGGACGGCCAGTCCCTTTGGGTCGTCCCCGGATTTCAGGTGCGGTGAAGGGCCTCTTGAATTGATTAACCCTCCTATCCGGGCTGATCCATTGAGTAGGAACAACAGGAGGGATGGGATCCCAGGGAGAGGGTCAGGGTGCAAATTAGACGTCCACCAACCTCGTCCCTTATCACCCTGCCCGCAGGCTGCGTTCCGAAAACATGTCAAATGTGCTCCCACCGCGGGAGTTGGCATTTACTGTCCCCGCTCCCGGAACACACTTCCCCGTAGGTCTCCACCTGGTTGGCCGATCAGGTCTCAGATGAAACATCACCTCCCCCCAGGAGGGCTTCCCGAACTCCCATTCGCTCCTTGTTGCCTCGTCTTGCTATTTATAGCCTTCACAGCGCTTCTCGTGGTCGGAAATGATCTTGCCATTTGTTTGTTTGTCTGGGATCCCTCGCCACCTCTGGATATAATCCCTAAGCGAACAGGGACCTGGTCTCGTATTTACTGCCATCGCCCCAGAGCTGGGACACGCCTAGGCACCTAGAGGGTGTTTATGATAATAATTGCTAACATTTACAGAGCACATCTTTTGTGCAACATCCCGTTCTCAATATCTTACCCACATTAATTCAATTCCTCTCGACTAACCCATTTGACGGATGAGGAAACCGAGGCAGAGTTTGAATGAGAAAAATCAAATTAATAGACTATTCAGCCATACTTGAGGTGTTCCGGAATTCACTTAGCGCCTGTATCAGTTATCTATTGCTACAAGAATTCGGTGTAACAAAACCCCTGTTTCTTCACACTAGTTGTCAAGGGTGCCAAGGAACAGAATGAACAAGGGTTTTTATTTTTCTACAGGGTGGGAGATAGAAGCTGTGGTTTGCATTTTCAGGGAGTTGCAATAAACATTAGTGAGTATCCACCCTGTGTTGGGCACCCTGCTACATTCTGTTTTATTTTTGTTTGTTACTTTATTTTGCCCGAATGCAATTCTCCAGAGTTGGATACAGTTTCTTTTTAAATACTCCAAGCCGGCCTGAGAAGTGGGGCATTAGACCCTTTTGTTCACTTTGGGAAACAGAGGCCATGGGGGTGAAATCACTCAATCACCTAGCGGAGGTCTCTGTATTTCTCCCAAGATTCTCCAGGTGAAGGCGCCGCCCCGAGCACAGTGCCCTAGACAGGGCGGATGCTCCATCAGCGTTGGCCAAAGGCATGAGGGAGGAAAGGACACCAGCCTTCATCTTACAGATGAGGACGTGGAAATTCAGAGATTCGGATCCAGGTCACCCGTCTATGAGTCACGATTCCAGCCTGGACAATTCCCGTTCCTCAAGCCAGTGCAGTCTGCGTGGGGTGGAATTCGGGGCCCAGCACGCCTCCTCCATAGTCTAGGTCCCCCGTCAGGAGAGAGGCAGGGCGAGAACAAGGGTAGATCCGTTTGTGTAAACCCCAGAGTCGACTCAGGCCCTGGAGGCCCATCTCCCTGGGCCGCAGGCTCCTGGGGGCCGAGCTCCGGAGCGGGATTCTTCTTTGGCCCCGGCCCGTGCGTGGCTCGGGGCCGAGAGCTTGGGAACGGAGAGAGCCCTCTAAACAAAGCCACCTGCCTCGGGCCCCCAGCAGATGGCAAGGCCAGGGCTGTGTGGATGTTGAGCGGGAGTGGCGAAGTGACCAGAGCCTGGCAGCTTAGCCCGGCCTCAGGCAGGACCAGCACGGACATCGCCCTGGGAGAGTGAGCGGCACCTCTTTTTCTCTTCTGGAACCTACGCCTGTGTCATTCACAACAGAACATGGGAAAAGATGAGACAGAGGCCCCCCCCCCCCCAAGGAAAATCTCAATCAGCTTCTGGAAGTGCTGCCACAGTCACTGTCCACTCATGACACCCATGACCGGCTCCGGCCACAAGGCAGTCTGACTGTGCAGGGGAAGAGGCCTCACCCACAGCTCTCTGTTGTGTGGTTGTTGTTGTTTGTGTCCCCCCAGGAGTCAGGGTTCTCTGCTGGACCATGCTTCAGCTGGTGAAGCCCCACCCACCCGTCTGCTTCCGTTGCGGTGTCTTGAGCTTGTTGGGCATTCGTTCACTCACTGAGCATTGATGGGGCTCCTCGTATGCACCAGGTTTGCGCCAGGCTCTGGGATATAGCAGGGCACAAGACCATCTGATTCTTATTCTCCAGAGGGGCAAGAATGTAGTTGAGGGGAGACAGGCAATACCAAATAACTAAATAAGAAAATGCCAGGTGGTAATAGAATGCAATAAAGAAAGCAGAGTAAGATGATGGGACAGTGGAGTGGGTGGTCAAGGAAGGCCTCACTAAGGCAGGGACGTGTAAACTGAGTGACATGTGAATGAGAGGAAGGAACCAGCCGTGGGGACATCTGGGGGAAACTTTCTAGCAGAAAGAAGAGCATGTGCAAAGGCCCTGTGGCAGAAGCAAGCTTGGTGGTTTGAAGAACACAAAACAAAGACAGTGAGGCTAGACTTAGTGAATGTGGGGAGAGCTGGGAAATGTGATCAGGCTGCCTGGCAGGGGCCAATCGGTGGAGCCTGGTTGGGCCACAGAAATAAGGATGTTTGACTAGGAAACACCATCGCTTTGGACTGCTGGGCACAAGTGTGGAGTCTCTCACTGGTGTCCTCTCCTTGGAGGGTTTATTTCTGCTCATTGAGGCAATGATTCAGCTCCCGCGCCAGCCCCAGGTAGGACGGAAAGGGAGGCTCTGCCTGGATTTCTGTGGATCTAGTTAAGTCCCTCGCACTCCTTTCTCCTCTGGTTAGTGCTCACCCTGATTTTTAAATCATGGCATCCTCCGACCTTTAATGAATACTGCACCCCCTTCTGCTCTTCAAGTGGAGGAAAGCTGGGCCTGCCAGGCCCCCCGTTCTGAGTGCTAAGCCCCACCTTCCTGCCGAGGGCGAGGATTTGGGTGGAAAGTCCATAGATGTTAGAGTCAGACACGTCCATGTTCACTTCATCTTGCCGCTTAATGGCCGTGGTCTCCGACAAGTCCCTTAAAGTTTCTGAACCTCAGTGACGGTGACGATAGATAATAAATGCAAACCTCTGGTGCAGGGCTAAGCACTCGCTCAGTCTTGAGGTTTCCTCTTCTCCCGTCCTCTCACGGGTCTGTCGTGTGTGCTTAGGCGCACGGGGCCAGGACGCCCCTAGTGAGACACTGCAAATGAGTGGGCGTGGGCCACGTGTCGTTTCCCGTCTCGATGACAGCGCAACTACAAAGAGGTCATCCGTAGAAAGGAGTGAGGTCCTGTTCGTGCTACAGCAGAGGAGCCTCAAAAGCGGTGGGCTAAGTGGAAGGAGCCAGTCACGAAAGACCACAGACTGTCCGAGTTCATTTCACTTATGGGAAATGTCCAGAACAGGTAAATCCATACTGACAGAAGGTAGATTAGTGGTTGTGTGGGGCTTGGGGAGGGGGAGACGAGAGGTAACTGCTATTGGGACCGGGTTTCTTTCCAGAGCAATAAATACATTCTAGAATTAGATTATGAGGATGGTTGCAAAAAAATATATATACCAAAAACCATTGAACTGTATGCTTTAAATGAGTGAATTTTGTGGTATAAAATTATATCTCAATAAAGCTATGTTTTTTGTTTGTTTCGTTTTTTTGGTGAGGAAGATTGGCCTTGAGCTAGCATCTGTTGACAATCTTCCTCTTTCTTTTTTTTCTTTTGCTTGAGGAAGATTGTCCCTGAGCTAACATCCGTGCCAATCTTCCTCTGTTTGTATGTGGGATGCCACCACAGCATGGCTTGATGAGTCGTGTGTAGGTCCACGCTCAGGATCTGAATGCATGAATCCCGGGCTGCCGAAGCGGAGCATGCAAACTTAACCAGCATGCCACCTGGCCAGCCCCCAAAGCAGTTTTTAAAAAGATGTAGTTTCATTACTTTTAGGAATAATACACAGTTTAAAAATAAGACATACTAGGTGCTAATACAAAAATGCAACAATTATCCGAGGAGATGACCATTTATGATGTGCCTCTGTTCCCCCTGCCTCCCACCCCCCACCCACAGGGCATTAGAGGAAAAGATTGGAATGAAGTCAGTAACGGAATCCTTGATTTTGTGAGGGTTGGTTTCCAGTGCTTTTCAGTGTAAGGCCCTAAAGGATCACAGAAATAGAAGTGGTTCCTAATGCTACGCTGGACTTCATTAGCGTCAGTTCAGACGTACAGCTTGAGAACCGCTGTGTGTCTGGCACTTGTCCTGAATGCTGAGTGGGAACTAGGCACGGTGGCTGTCTTCAAGGATTTCCAGTGGGGCCCTGAAAATACAGGCTCACTTCCCAAAGGGTGTTGCTCAGGATACCAGCCGTATTAGTCAGAGTTCTCGAGAGAAACAGAACCGCCAGGACGTGTGTGTATATATAGAAAGAGATCTGTTGTAAGGAATCAGCTCACGTGATTATAGAGACTAACAAGTCCCAAGATTTGCAGTTGGCAAGCTGGAGACCCGGGAGAGCTGATGTTTCAGTTTGAGCCCAAAGGAGGAAAAAAACTGATGTCCCAGCTCACAGGCAGTCAGGCAGGAGTTAGCTCCCTCTTACTCAGGGGAGGGTCAGCCTTTTTGTTTGATTCAGGCCTTCAACTGATTGGACGAGGCCCACCCACATTCGGGAGGGCAGTCTGCTTTACTCAGCCTATGGATTCAAATGTTAACCTCATCCAGCAACACCCTCACAGACTCACCCAGAATAATGTTCGACTGAATTGTCGGGGCACCCTGTGGCTCAGTCAAGTTGACATATAAAAGTAATCATCACCTCAGTTCAGTGAGACATCTTCTCACCCCCCAGAGTTCCTGGAAGAGTTGGGAAGTACTGCATCCCACGGTCTTTGGGAATTCAAAGTGCCTACTTGCAAACCAAAGGCCCTGACAAGTCCTGCAGTGAAAGGAAACCTGTTTAACCCACTGTTTCTCAATCGGATCTGTCTGAAACACTTATACACCTCTTTTTCTTTTTAAATTTGTTTGTTTTGATTTTTCTTTAAGAAATTGGTGTATCACAGACTATTTTGTCAAATGCTGAAATAATATAATGTAGGATTAGGTCATACTGGAAGTGTCCGTATTTCATGGCGCTGGGAACAGTGAATTCTGTGAGTGGGACCAGATGAGGAAAGAAGAGGATCAGGCAGACTTTCTAGAGGAGGTTTCACCTGAGCGTGGTGTTGAGGAATAAGCAGCGTTCATCTGGCTGAGTAAGGTGATCTAGGTAGAAGCAGCAGCATGCAAAAGATCTAGAATATTCTGTTGGCTTTTCCCTGCCTAGAGGAACAGCAGCAGCATTTGCTCTGGTGGTGTTTTAGTTCTGTCCTCGGTGACAAGAAACCCGTGCTGACCACCGGCACAAGTGGGCCCTTGATTGCAGTTCTGCCTACCCCAGTCTTGGTAACATCCGTGACGTCTTGGCCCGGATCTTCGTACTGAAGGTTGGCATCTTTCTGGAACTTGTGGTCTTGTTTTTCACCAAACTGACGTTGACAGACAGACTAGAGCGAGTAATGGTACCCTCACCATAGTCTAAGGATCTAACCTTTATGCTGTCTGATTTCCCACAGGAAGGCACCTCATTAGGGCATGAAGACGGCCCCTGCGGTAACAGACGCTTAGCCCACCGTGAGCAGTGAAATGTAGCCAGAATCCCACAGAGTCGGGCTCTGGATTTGATATGCTGTTCCTGGCCCTACCAGGCTAGATACCGTAGCCACGGCAATCAGTCCAACAGTACCAACTCTGTCAGTCCCAGAGTACCAACCCGGTCAATCCCAGAGTACCAACCCGGTCAATCCCAGAGTACCAATCTGGTCGGTCCCAAAGTACCAACCCGGTCAATCCCAGAGTACCAATCTGGTCGGTCCCAAAGTACCAACCTGGTCAATCCCAGAGTACCAACCTGATCAATCCCAGAGTACCAACCTGGTCAGTCCCAGAGTACCAACCTGGTCAGTCCCAAAGTACCAACCCTGTGCCAGATGCCTGGCGCTCTGTGTCTCCATCTCCAAACCTGTCTAACGGGGATAAACTGTACCTGTCTTCACGGACAGCTGTGAATCCACTTAAAGATGTGCTGTGTGTCTCAAAGAGCAGCTGACATTTGGCAGGAAGGAGGAGAGCGGGAGAGGCAGAGAGGAGCGTCATGGGCAGAAGCTGGAACGGAGGTTGGCTAGGGAGTAGGAGAAGGTCATCAACAGCAGGGGTTCAAAACGCCTTCTGGCTCGAAACTGGAGCCCTGCCCAGTGAGGGATGACTCAGCAGACAGACGACACCAATTGAGGCTTCAGCAACGCTGGGAATGTGCTCCCAACCCCGCTCCCTTCCCCCAAGAAAAGAGAGAGAGATGGGGACATTTTTGACAATAAAATCATCAATGTAGTCATCATGGGAAAAATCAGAAATGGGTTGGACTTATACTTACTTTGTGGTTTAACCTTGTTTTCACTTAGAATCCCATTTTTGGGGGGGTCCTATGGTGTTGTCAGGGCTTGGGGCCTCTCGAGGTGTAAACCCAGCTGTGGTGACATTGAGCAATTTGTACGTAACTGAAGGGGGCAGCTCAGTGGAGTCGAAATAAGTCAATCAGAACATGTGGCATGGACTGACTGTCCTCAGGAAACAGTAAGATACTGTGAGAGTCTACCACCCACCGAGACCTTACAACTTCAGTAGGGTCCATCCTTGATTTGCCAACAACATATTGTCACCCCCCAAGGGAAAATTTTAATTGGTATTTGAACATTTTTATTTGACATTTGAATCTTGTTCATTGCTAGATCCCTTGGCACATGGGTTGGCAGTTAGTAGATGCTTCATAGCTGTTTGTTGAATGAATGAAGGAGTAAGTGAGTGAATGAATGAACGCATGCATTTACACCTATGGGAAAATGCACTACTGTTGGCTATTCACCCCTGGCTTCAGTTCCATCACGCTAATGTTTCTTAGCCTCGTAACCCAAGCTGGGGAGGCAGCCTGGAGAGGCCTGGAGTCCTACCAATCCAGTGGATTAGCAGAAGGGCAGAGAGGTGAAAGAATGTTCCCGTAATGGTTAGCACTTGACTGTAAGTGCACACTGCTGGCAGAAGAGTAATCAGCAGTGGAAATGAGGGAGCAGCGAGGAGATGCAGAACAAGGAGGAGGGCAGCGCTCCAAATCCCCAAGCTGATGGCATTGTTGGCAAAAAAAGACTCTTCCTGCAAAACTGTGCCCAGACACGTGGGTGTGGCTTCTCCCCAAAGGAGCCTTTCCTCTCTTTCTTTCTTGAAAGATTCCAGAATAAATAGGAATTGGTAGGAAAAACAGATGGATGGTGAGTGGGTGGATGGGTGGATGGGTGGGTGGGTGCATGGATGGATGGATGGATGGGTGCATGGATGGGTGGATGGATGGATGGGTGGGTGGGTGGATGGATGGGTGGGTGGGTGGGTGGGTGGATGGGTGGGTGGGGGTGCATGCATGGGTGCATGGATGGATGGATGGGTGCATGGATGGATGAATGGATCGGTGGGTGGGTGGGTGGGTACATGGATGGATGGGTGCATGGATGGATGGATGCATGGATGAATGGATGGATGGATCGGTGGGTGGGTGCATGGATGGATGGAGGGATGGGTGGGTGGGTGCATGGATGGGTGAATGAATGGATGGATGGGTGGATGAATGGATGGATGGGTGGATGGGTACATGGATTGGTGGATGGATGGATGGGTGGATGGGCATCAACATAGGGTAGTGAAAAGAGCATTGGTCTTGAATGGCAGAACCACTCAGCCAGGTCCCTCTCTGAGCCCAGTTCTGTCACCTGTAAAAGAAAAACCCTGGTCCCCCTTCCCCGCCCCCAGCTCCAAGAGCCATCAGAAAGCGGAAAATAAAAACCAGACACCTTTGTTCAGTTAAGGTGCTCTGAAGCTGTAAGGAATTGTTATCTGCATAACTTCTTCCCTCCAAAAACTGCCTCTGGATCTCCCTACTGCAGATATATTATGATGAAAATGGAAGAGTCAGTCAAAATCTTGGTAAACTCTGATCGTTTTGGAATTCCTCCAACAAACTCTGCATGGATTTTTTTTTTCTCCTCTCAGCTCCCAAGCAATTTTTCTTACATTGGAGGTTGCCAAGATTTTATGGCTATTTGGTTATCTTATCCATCCAGATGGTTAGCATTAATTTATGCTGAAATAAATCTGCAAAACCTCATCTGTCTTATTGCTCCAGAAGCAATAGGTCTAAGGCCTAAACAAAACTTAATATATAGCCTCCTCAAAGGGCTGAGGTATGATGTTACTGCACGCTTTTTATTTAACTTGGCTTGAAATTCTGCTTTTCTCTCCCTTGATATTTACATATAAGCAAATTAGGTTGTTTGGTATAAAAAAAACCCAAGCTTATTTTATGACTCTTAATACATATGCTTGTCTCAAATTACTTAGCGTTGGTTTGTATTAAGAAAAATAAATCTGATTTATCATCCAATGATAAATTTCAAACCCTTCTTTTTAAGCTTTAACTATTAAGGCATAATATATCAGTTAGCGACCACGGATTCACATACGAATTAGCTGTGTGACCTCAGGCAAGTCTCTCAGCCCAGCTGAGCTCCATTTTTGTGACCTGGGTGAACCCCTGCTTGCAGGATGACTGGGACGATTAAATGTGATAATGTATGTGGAGTGCCTGGCATATCATAGCATTAATAAATGCTATCAGGTAGCACTGCTGTGGTTGAGCTGATGAAGGATTTTGTGTGAGAAATTGGACCTGGACTTTCATTTGCAGCAAGTTCGATCCAAATGACAGGTCCTCACCCTGCCAGTGCTGGTGGCCTCTGCTCTCGCCCGCGCACTCCCTAAGTCGTGAGTGATTCGCACCATTGCTCTTGTGCTATTGGGGGATTTCTCAGGCAGACGTGCTGGTGTTTTCTGGTGGCTCCAGAAATTCATTCAGAACATTTCTGCACAGCGATTCATACGCTTGACCTGACTTTTCCTTAAAGTCAAATGGATGGCCGCTCAATCTCTCTTGCCACGGCGCAGGGCTTGGCTGGCTGTCCCCAGGTGCCAGACTGTGGGACAGCTGTGCTCTAAGAGGTAGACCTCTGAATTCCTCTCTCGTCCGGGTATAGAGAAGACCAGGCAGTTGGTTGATGCTTGCTGCCATAACATATGGGCAACTTGATTCTGGTACTGGGTCCACGCAAATTCAGTTCCTATGTGGCGCTCCCTCTGGGCTCTTGATTTAGAACTGTAGGGCTTCTCGACAAGGCCCACATCTGTGGATGCTGCTATATCAAAAGGAAGGAGCCACTAAGTAGAGCTGTTTGGTTTTTTTGTTATTGTTGATCTTGGTTTTGTTTTGTTTTAAGGTTTCATATTGTGAATTGTTTTCCCTCTGTCTCTCTATAGGGGTTGGTTTGAGACTTATTTGTGTAGGTCCCAACTTCCAAGGTATGTGGTCCTTCTCCTGTAGAGATGTCGCAAACCCACAGTTAATGCAGCACCGTCTCCATGTTGCCGGGTACTAAGAGGGGTTGTGATAGGACCTAGGGTTCACGAGTCGCGTTGGGAGGTCAGCAGGGCCCATGCCAGTCACCAGCACTTCTGGGGCCATCATTTTAGCATCCAAGTGCTTGATGCCTTGTCTTCTTCTCATTTGGGTGTTCAAGCCAATGGTTGTTGACTGAATTCTCAAAAGCACCTTGCACATTAGAGGTACTGAGTGAATGTATGTACATCCTAGATAGCACGACAGTAATAGTGATTAATAATATTGGCTCGCATTTATTGAGCACTTACTATGTACCACATACCATGCTAAGTGCTTTACTCAGATTATCACATTTTACCTTCCATCCACCCCATTGAGTAGATGCAGTGACAGTCCCCACTTTACAGATGAAGAAACTGAGGCTGAAGAGCTGAAGAATTTGCCCACAGTCATAGCTGGAAAGCAGGGAAAGGATTCAGTCCCGGGGTGGGCTTTAGACAACTTCTCAGAAGTGAACAGATGCTGAGTTGAGATGGGAAGAAAGATGCCAAGGTCAGTTTAGCTCAAGATTCCTTTTAAAGAAATGGCCTTTTCATCCCAGAATTAGCGTATTCCAGATAGCTTCAAAGAAAAATTTTCTTCACAGCTTCAGATTTTAGTGACTATTCCCGTGGAGGAATAGCCCAGATGCTGTCTTCTGGGACTGAAGCCCTGTTGTCATACCATCCCCGCATTGCATACTGTTCAGTGCTGTTGGGTAGGGGGCGGGGTTGTCATTCTCTATTTCCTGCTTTTGGCCAATCTGTAGAGGGTAAGAGTTCACACTTGAATTTGGCAACCCGTGTGGTCACGTTGTTCTATTCGTCACTTCCCAGCGTGGCATCAGATGGGCCCTAGAATTCTCAGAAAACACAAAGGTGTGGTTTTGGGTTTGTTTTTTTTTTTTTTTGAAGTTCCAACATGTATCGTTGTTATACATATGTCTTTTTAGTTATTAATCAAAAGGGAAATATCAGCCAACATCCATTTAAAAATAAATAAATGGTATTAACAGTTATTTTCTTAAGGAAGATATATAAGTGGCAAATAAACACACAAAAAAAGCTCATCATCACAAAACGTCAGAGAACTGGAATTAAAACCACAGTGAGTTGCCCGGAGTTCCCCTATAAAAATAGCTACCATTAAAAAGACTGACATGGGGCCAGCCCAGTGGCGCAGCAGTTAAGCTCACACATTTTGCTTCAGCGACCTGGGGTTCGCCAGTTCAGATCCCAGGTGCGGACCTACGTACCACTTATCGAGCCATGCTGAGATGGTACCCACATATAAAGTACAGGAAGATGGGCATGGATGTTAGCTCAGGGCCAGTCTGCCTCAGCAAAAAAAATGACTAACAATACCAACTCTGGCAGAACATGGAGGAACAGGAGCTCTCCTACATTGTTGGTGGGAACACTCTTGGGTAGGGCCAATTTAGATCACAATTTGGCCGTTTCTTACATATTGAAAACGGGGGGCCCCCTGTATGCTTTGAGGCTGTTATAGCAGAGGAGAACTTTAGAGACCTACTGGTCCCATCCTCACATTTTGCAAATGAGATGCGAGCATTCAGGTGACTGATTCAGCTGGGTTTCAACAGTAGATGAAAAGTTTGCTCTTAGGAGAGTGGTTTCAGAAAGATTCCTGGAGCTCTCGTCCTGGTCCTTGGTGTAGTCCTGGCTGAAATGACTTCCTACCCAACCTGCAACTTCAGGGCCATCAATGGCCTGCTGCCTCCTGTGAGACACATGCTTCCTTCAGCTAGAGCTACATTATAAGCTTCTCCCTTTGCCGAGGGTGGAGCCCAATGACTGTCCTGTCACATATCAAGCAGACACAGGACGCCCTCGTTTGTGTGTTGTGCCCTGATTAACACTGGACAAGACTCTCCTCCAGCATCTGTGAAGCTGAGGAAAGGTGAGCATGGTCCGTCCAGGGTTCTCTTTCATGCATTCATTCAACAACCTTTTATTGAGCACCTGCTATAATTATATGATGAATAATAGTAACTACATTTATTTGACGCTTCTCTGTGCTGGGCACAGGGTTGGGGCTGTCTTGCAGTAGTGCCCCAGACGTACTGGGTGCCTGCCCGAGGTTAGAGACTGGGTAGGGGAGCACATGGTTTTTAACACTGTAGAGAGTTTGGGGCTGTCCTGGGAGAGGCATAGCCCCAGGAAAACCACCAGGAAATAGAGACCAGCACAGGCGCCATGTGCTTAACTTGAGAAAAATCCAGTGTCGTGGCCCCCACGTCCCCTCCAGCCACCTCTTCCCCAAAATGCTAGTGTGTATTTTTTTATTTAAAACCACTGGGCAAAAATCACAGTTTAGATAAAAACTGGCTGGATTCAGTGTGAAGAGCTGCCCGAGTTTACATGAGGTTCTTGAGTATTTTTCATTTGTCTAAGAGCAATCGTCTCCCCATTCAGGAGGGCTCAAACTCTTGTGACTAATGCGAAGATTTAAATATAAATTTTTCTCTTGTAACCACAAGAAATCAATTGGTTGGAGAAAGGATTGAAAAGAAAGAGCAAGCAAGATCTCATTTTCCTTAAAATAACACAGTAGCTGGAAATAAGGGGAGGATCTGGTTCGTAGGTTTGTAGTGAAGTGGAGTTGATGGGAAGATGGACGTTCGTGAACCTTCACGTGGGGAGACCTTGAGGATTCAGACATTCCTTTCCTGTCACAGCATCTTCTCTGCTTTCTGAGGGTTGAATCACTTCATTTGTGTTTCTCTTTTCAATTAGCTGAAACAAT